AGGGAGGGAGGGAGGGAGGGAGGGAGGGAGGGAGGAAGGAAGGAAGGAAGGAAGGAAGGAAGGAAGGAAGGAAGGAAGGAAGGAAGGAAGGAAGGAAGGAAGGAAGGAAGGAAGGAAGGAAGGAAGGAAGGCTTTTCTTTTGTCTTAAATGTCAGTAAATGTTAACAGTCATTGGATGTTTGTAGTTTTATAATTCCACGCCTACTGGCCACAAAAGCCCCCTCTAACAAACGTAAGTGGCCCATGAGCCACCAGTTGATAATGACAATTGTAGCAGGTTTTGCGGCTCTGAAAACATTTAATTTAGTGAACGAAGGGGCAGAACTGGCTCTTGATTGTAAATGTCGCAGAGCCCTGTTCTATAAGAATGAAAAGATAAATTCGTCCGTGCTGTCCTTTACTCATCAAACTTTAATTCCCCAAACATGATGTCGACACACTTGATTTGCTAACTCACTCTCACAAGTTGTGCTATTCATCCCAGCATTAAAACATCATTGACCCTTTGTCCTGGTTTTTTTTTTCTTCTTTGTTTAGAGACAGATGTCTCTAACGGGGGACAACTGCCTGCTGTGTGGATACCTTCAGGTGCAGGAGAAGGAGAAAGGGAAAGGTTGGACCAAGATGTGGGCGGCTGTAACTAAAGCTGAGCCGATGGTGCTGTACCTACAAGGCAGTGGACAGGTAAAACGCAGACTCTGTGGAGAGTCGTGAGAGTGTCTAGACTATAAAGTTGATCAAAGAGCTATCTACAACTTCCCTGATGTAAGACTGATCACCCTCCTGACACTGAACAGCATACACAATATTACTCTGTTTGTGCTGGGGGACTGGATCTTTGCGATGGACCAGTCTGCCACTGGGGCATCGTGTTTAGAAAATAAACCTCTCAGTTTCTCTGAAACTCCAGTAACATACGGACTGACCACTGGTCTGGGTGTGGGGTGAAGATGTTTTTAGATCTAAGACAAACGTTTCAGCAAAGAAAAACCCGTCCAGAGGACCTGACTCCATCTCGTTAGAATATTCATAATCAAAATTAAAAGGGCTGGTTTAATTATTATTTATTTTTATTTTAAACAAATATGTGATATAAATAAAATTTCTGTGACAGAATAATACTAATAACGCTAAGGGGCAGAACAGATCAATCTCTCTAGTAGTTTGTTAGCGTGTTGGTCATGAACACAGCCACACAGTGTGATATTTTACTGAAATCCACTGGAAAACAAAACATTTTAACACATTTAAGCAAAATGTTGAAGGGAAACAAAGTTCACTTTTGCACATGTAAATAACAGATTAATATATTGTAACACAATGAAATACAAATATATGATAAGTTCCTTTGACACAATGAAAGCTGGCTTAAAAAAACTTTTAATAAAAGTTGAATCAAATGAAAACTTCTTCTTCTATATAAAGAAACATCAGTAAGTCCTAATTAAATATCCAACAATCTATTTGTTTACTCTGGTCATTATAGGGATGCAAGTATATGTTTTATTAATATTGCATAGTGTATATTTACATTCCTGTTTTCCACAAATCTAGAAAAGACTATATGTTGCAAAGTTAATTATTTAAATGTTATCAAAGATGACAAAGAATTTCTTCTTCTTCTTCTCCTCTTCGTGAGGGTTTGTTCTGATCTTTTCGTCTAACATGTCAAAACAATAAATGGTCATTATATTTTTAAATACACATTGTAACAAACTGGTTTTAAAATATGTTTTTTATGTAACACATTGATACGTTTTGTGACTCGACTCATTTTGTTTTAGTAGGGGAAGAGGCAGTAGTGGACTTTTTGATTGTAAAAGTTGCAGATCGCTGATTTAAGGTGTCACATTACAGACATGGACAGTCACTGCTGCACACTATCCATCCGACCACACAGTAACCTCTCACGGTCCAGCTATGATTTTTTGTGGTCTTGTAGTACCGTATTTTCCGGCGCATATGTCGCTCCAGAGTATAAGTCGCATCAGTCAAAAAAAGCATCACGAAGAGGAAAAAAACATATATAAGTCGCATTTATTATGTGTCATCGCTGAACCATCGCGTTTATTTAACGGTCAAAGCAGCTTCATTTCGCCTGGGCAGCGCAGCGCCATTCATCCATCGCAGCCGCTAGCTCTCCAGCGTTCCTCCACCTGCACCAGCTGGGTGACACGAGCGCGCACGGGAGGACTCGCTGTTGCAGTTCTTAGAAATTTAAAGCGTCAGTCAAAAATTGCGTTATGAGCATGGGGAAAAAAATGTCGCAGGACTGACAAGTCTATGCAAAAAAACTGTGACTTATACTCCGGAAAATACGGTAAATAAAAGGTTTAATAGAGACCACGGTTCTGTTTTATTCATTAGGTTGTCAACACTGAAGGGGAGTCAGTATGAACTAAGGTCCCAATCCCACAACAGAAAGCTGCCATACCAAAGATTAGGATTATTGGAAGAAGGAAGCATTTCCGGATTTAACAGAAGGGAGAGGGCTGGAGGGAGAATCAGGGTTTACTGTACATGCCTCGTAAAATATATTCCCCTGCAGCTTAAGGGATAAGCTGTCACTTGCATTAGTGATAGTTTTATTTTACTCTAACAAATCCTCTTGTAGAGACCCTGTGTTCCTCTGATGTAGTTTTCCTTTTTCCTTTTCATAGGATGTCAAGGGCTCGCGAGCAGTACCGTTACCCGGGTTTGAGGTGGTCTCAGTACCGTCGACGACGGCCGACAAGTCAGAGGTCAAGCACGTGTTCCGGCTCAGCCACACCCAGCAAACTTTGCTCTTAAGTGCCCAGGATGCAGAACTTCAAGCCAAGTGGGTGGAAGCCCTTTCCAAAGCTGCCCGTGGAGAACCGCCTGCAGACGCATCGATGAGCCTGACTGAACACAGGAAGAGCCAGTAGTGGTCACGTTGCAGCCGAAAGACTCGCTACCCCACCCTCTCCTGTGTATAGAGCACACATTACTTGAATTCACTTAACATTGGCACTTTCCCCCTCCCCAACTTTGAAAGGACAATTCAATCCTCCCCAGGCCTCTTCAGTCTCCTCCTCATGACCACCCAGCTTCTTCTATTTCTTTATCTCCGTGTCTCTATCGAACACACACAAACCACTGAGGCCACTGATTCGAACGTTTCTTTCTCAGTGTTTTCAACAACCGGAGCGGATCTTTGAAGAACGTTTGTACAATATCTGAAGACTGCTTTTTAAAGAAGTTATTGGACATTATTCCACGGTGTTGTGAAGCATTAACTCCTCGTCTCCCCATTAGCGTGGATGTGTGTGTGCATGCGTTCGTATGCGAGTGTTGGAGCGTGAGACCCCTCCTGTGTTTTATTATGTACTGAATGTTAGTATAAGAAATCTGAAGGCTGTCTCTGGTGCGTTCACTCCTGCTGATGACACAGAGGCGGTGCAGTGGGTCCTGTACAGTGTGTATACAATAGTGATGTAAGGAAACAAAGAAAAGAAACTTTTAACTTAAAACACAAAGAAATGTGTACTTCTGTGGCTGGCCACCTGATTCTTTTAGTTATCGCTCCCTTCCCTGTCCCCGTCCCGTTTCCCAGTAGTACATTGGTGCTGATTCCCGCTCCACCGTCGTTGTCGGAGTCTGAGACCTCTGACATACAGTAAGTGTTATTCACCACATTTCCACTCAGTTTGTTGTGTGACCTGTCACAGACAGAAGATCGTGACCACTTTTGACCCTGTGCTGCAGAGTCGGTGTGGTTCTTTATCTCAGACCAACAACCCACGCCTCTCCTTCGGTGATGTGACTGAAACCAAGTACTGTACTGTAAAAATCCTTGACTCTGCCTTGCCCCTTGTTCCTTGCTCCTATCAGCACCAGCCTTTAAATAAAAGTAGCAAATGAACTTCGGTCTCTTTGTGCATGTAAACCTCTGTCGTATTTATATGCTGTGCTATGAAATCTTGCATTTGTACCTCTTTTGATGCATTCATGGTTTATTGTTTTACGTGAACAGAACTGTCACTGTTTTGTTTATTAAAATATCGATGGTGCACAGTGGAGAAGCTGTCGAGCATATCAATAAACAAACGTGGCTCGTTTGGTGCCACGCTGTTCAGTAAGATCCTTGTGCTTCAGTTTGTTGTATAGATGTAGATACAGCACCATTTCCTCAGCACCCTGTTTTATGCTTTTTCTAAATCCACAACGGTAAACAATAAAAGTTCTTTCTGACCTTCTGTACTTCATCAGCATCCTCAAAGCAAAGATGGCATCTGTGGTGCTCTTTGCACAAAATACTGCTCATGAGTAGTCACCTCTAAGTCTAGCTTCCACAAGTCTCCCAGATTTTCATCATGTGGTTCAACTTCATTTGGTTTCCTAATCATCTGTCCAGATGACACAGCAAGTACCTTCCTACCCGTCTCTTTAATCTCTGTTGCTGTAGTAGTCCAGTCATCTGGAAGCTCTTTCAAACCCCCAGAGCCTTTAACAGCTCCATTCTGAACTCCTTACAACGTTCTTCCTTCCTCATCTTCCATCATTTGATCTTCTCCTCTGATTTTACTCTTTTTCTCTTCTTCACAACAACAATCGTTCTACACACAAACATCTGATGCTGTCTGGCCACGCTCTCCCCTGCCACAACCTTACAGTCCCCAATCTCCCTCAGGTTTCCTCTTCTACACAGAATATATTCTACCTGCATTGACTCTGGTCCAGAAGACCTGATTTAACCTTTTTTGTTGTTATCTACCTGGATGATTGAGCTTGCGAACCTTTTTCTGAACCACTTTAGCCTGTCCAGATGATCTGACTGAAAATTGTTGGATTGTATACCTGGATTATTGAGCATGGACCTTTTTGGTATCACTTGGGCCTTGGTTGTCCTCAGGCTGTTTCTGTGAGTAACAAGTTGGCCATCTGGCCTAAAACATTTGATTGTTGTACATGATTGATTGTTTGGATGGGTGTGTTTTGCACATGTTAAAAGTCTACTGTTGAGATTCCAACAGGAGGTTGGCTTGAAACACAGCAGTGAAGGCTACCTATGAGACTGATCTGGTTGGCAGGCCATAGACTGATGAAGTCTTCCGGATGGGGGATGAAAAGTTTGCAGAAACTAGTCCAGATGATATTTTACAACATTTTATTGTTGTAGTCGACCAGCGTACTCCTTCCTCCACTCTTATAGGTCACTCTGTGTTCCTCCCTCTTTTGAAAATCCATTGAGTGGTTGATAAGATCATTTTAAAACAGACAAACAAACACAGGCACTTAATTTTCAAGGATTCAAAGTTTCTTTATTTGTCATTCGCACCACATGTGGTACATGTGGTGGAACAAAATTGTGTACACAGGGTCCCAGTTACATCCAACAATAAAATGTAAAAGAAAAACAGTAATAAGATCTAAAATATGAACTAAGAAAAACATTTAATAAATATACAGTAAGCACTAATAGCATAAAACATTACGTCAAACATTCATTCAACCTTTATTTAGACAGGTAAATCCCATTGAGCCTCGAGGACTCATTTACAAGAGAGACCTGATTTTAACAAAGAATGATGACAACAATGGACAATTATAAAATGGCATAGATTTTTTTAAACAAATTAAAATACAGCAGCATGAACATGAGTCTGTGTGAACAGATGTGTATGAATGAACAGCAGCAACATGAAACAGATCAGCAGCAACATGAAACAGATCAGCAGCAACATGATGTGATTATTCTGGTTATAGATTCATGAGTCTAACAACCTCAGGGTAGAAGCTGTTCCTCAGTCTAGTGGTTCTACACTTAATGCTCCTCAACCTCCTTCCTGAGGGGAGTGGGCCAAAAAGTGTGTGCGCTGGATGAGTGGGGTCCTTCATGATGCAGGTGGCCCTCTTCCTGCATCTGGAGGTGTAGATGTCTGTGATGGTGGGGAGGCTGACTCCAACAGTCTTCTGTGCAGCCTTCACCACTCTCTGCAAAGCTTTTCTTTCTGCAGCTGTGCAGTCTCCATGCCACACGTTGATGCTGGAGCACAGGATGCTCTCCACTGCACACCTGTAGAAGGAGGTGAGGACTGAGCTTCCCAAACCAGCTCGCCTCAGCCGCCTGAGGAAGTAGAGTCTCTGATGAGCTTCTTGATCAGACTTACTTGTACATAATTATCCACTTTTTGTCAGTAAATGTTTCTCTTGCCTTTAGTTCCTCTCCTTACTTCACACTTGTCACTAAAGCTGTAAGCTTCACAGACAAGATTTCTAAGACCAAAAAGATCCAGACTGGAAACAGGTAAGTGTAAGAAATGTTTCATTTTGAAGAAGATTGGAAGGGATGCTGGTGATCGTCTGCAGACAAGAACAGGAGCTGGAGTCAAAGGGTTTTACAGGTAAAAATGGTGAATAAATGCTTCAGAATGTCTCCAGGTGTTTTTTTATTTTTATTTTTTTACTTAGTCTTTTGTGTTTCTAGGTTCCAGAGGAGGAAGCAGAGGATTCTGGGAGTCCCAGTGGTGAGCACAAGCAGACGGGTGAACGTGCAGGGAGCAGAGCAGGTTGGCTTCTCTTGTGTGTGCCCACAGAGGAGATGTCAGGAGAAACATGGATCTGCAGACAACAGGGAAGTTTAGTTGAACATAAAAACAAAAGTTGATTCAGAGATCGATACAAAGGAACTTTGTGTGAGGACGAACCCAAAGAAGAATGCTCCTCAGGTGGTAATCTGCTCTGGATTACCAGCTGAGCAGGAGCTGTCAGAGAGTCCGCCCTGCCAAGCCTAGAAAAACTCTCAGCTCAACCTGCAAAACAAAAAGGTTCCAATAAAACAGAAACAAATGAGTTTTCTTACTTGTTCTCATGTATGATCTGTTAATCTTTCCAGTTTGTTGAAACCTTTGGAGCTCCATTTGGGTTTTTTTTGTTTCTGGTGGAACAGCTCTTGTTTTGCACTTTGAAATAAACCTATCAGCTCAGCATAGTTCAAGTGAGAATAAATTATTTTGAATAATATATGTAAATTAGCCATAAGGCTGTCAGTGATGACTGTATTCTAGGAAGTAAATTAAATCTTTTTTTTTTTTTTTTTTTGCTGTTATTGTTCAGTCATTATCAGGAGATTCAGTTTGTACAAAACAATGTTTTGTTTTTATTTTATTTTTAATAGGAAAATATTTTGCTTTGTTGCACATAAAGCTGATTGTAGGAGGTGTGGTCACATTAATATTGGGGAAGTCATAACATTTTACACCAGAAACTGGTGGAATGCTCCCTCTTCTCTCCATTGGCTCCCTGTCAAATCCAGAATAGAATTCAAAATCTTACTTCTAACCTACAAAGCTCTCAACAACCTAGCTCCATCTTATATTACTGATCTTATTTCCCATATTTTCCTAACAGAGTACTTCTCTCTTCGACTGCAGGTTTACTTGTGGTTTCTAGAGTTTTCAAAAGCAGAATTAGAGGAAGATCTTTCAGTTATCAGGCTCCTCTCTTGTGGAACCAACTTCCAGTTTCTGTCCATGAGGCTGACACATTGTCCAGTTTTAAGACTGGGCTTCTTAATAATTCCTATAATTAGGGTCAGCTTGTCATGCTTTCTTAAGTTTAGACTACTGGAGGACAAATTGACCTCATTTCCTTAAATGAATTGTTAAAATTGAATAGTTTTCATTTGATATTATTTCTATCTTAACATGTGGTTCTTGACCTGCCATTGTGTATCTGTTCCTCTCAAACCCAGCTGGTTGAAGCAGAGGACCGCTTGTCCTGAGTCTGGTTCTGCTAATGGTTTCTTCCTCATGAGGGAGTTTTTTCTTTCCACTGTCGCCTTCATGTTTGCTCAAGATGAGAGTTTTGCGATGGAGTTAAACTCAGAGCAGTCTGCTCCTCAGATAAATAACGTTAAATTATTATTTTATATATGAATGCTTCTGTTCAGTGCCCTGAGACGACTTCTGCTGTGACTTGGCACTTTAGAAATAAACTGAATTGAAAATTGAAATTGAATTAATAAAACATTTAAACACGTGTTTCCTTCTTCTGTTCCACAACAATTTACTTCCCTTTCTTCGTACATGATCTTGTTTAATTGAGAGTATTTAATTAAATACATGAGCTTCATGCATCTCTGTTCAACGTTGTGGTCAAGCAGTTTGTGTCTTGCAGAAATGACGTATAGTTCACAGAAACATACAGCGCTGAAACTTCCTGTACTGTGGCAGTGACTGCACACAAACGGGTATTGGAGTGGTAGTTTCTGTTTGTGCTGAGTTAAAACGAGACAACGCAGAAGTAACATCCTCTACACCTCATGTTCTTTTATGTTCATTTGTGGGTATGTCTTAAATACGCACACCAGCTGCATTTAAGAGGTTATTCCTCTTTCTTATGAAGTATGTAAGGTTGAGTAATAGTCTCAACCAAGAATATCTTTATCACCTGCTGCCAAACATAGTGAGTTATCGTTTGTCTCAATCATTTGTAGTAAAATATCTTGTGAGAAGGCTTTAAGTTAAAGTTTACAGATCCTGAGCTCTGATGTGGGTGCAGTGTTGTGTCATTAGCACATACTGCAAATGCTAATTTATTTATTTCATAACATCATCAGTTATGTCTGCGTGTTTTGTCAAGTCTGTATCTACTTGTGATTATTTTACGTAGTTCTCCGAGTCTGTTTCCAGTTTCCCCAGTGTTTCTCTCCTCGTGTAGTCAGCTCCTGCCACTCTCACCTGTTCCTCATCGTCTCTCCCCAGGAGTTCATCATGGTGTCTCGTTAGTGTCCCTTTAAGTTCAGCGTCTCTGTGTTTCCACGTTGTCCGTAGATTGTGCTTCCCACAGCCTGTCACGTTCTGTTCCTCGTGTTTCCATGCACCCGCTGGGGGTTGAACGGCGACATATTTTTAAAGTCGACATTAACGTGATAATAGTCG